TATATTTTAATTTACATTTTTTAAAATAGATAATGATATAGAGAAGAAGAAAGGACAAAAATCCTAAAATTTAAATTATGTTATTTCTAGCTATCCTTTAAGATTTTATTATTAATAAAATTATTATAGTAATATAAATTTAGTATTAAAATTGTTCAGGATTTATTTTTTTGACTTTTACATTAAATATACTAGATATACTCATTAAGTTTTTAATTTTTATTTTCATTATAAATTATATTTAGTATATGCTAAAAAATTAGATTTAACAAATATAGTACTATATAATTAATATTGTAATAAAGAATTAGATATTTAATAATTATTTGATTTATTAAATTAATTAACTTTACTGTTTTCCTACTTAACTCAATTAAGTTAACTTTATATTTGGTAAAATTTAGCCTATAACTTTAATGTTGTTTAAATACAGGCAATTATTACCTGAATTGCATTATAAATTTTATTGCAAAAAAATTTCTGTTTAAATATGCATATATCAATTAAATTATTCTATATAAAATAATCATTAAAATCTAAAATTTTAGATTAGTTTAATTATTTTATAAGGTTTAAAAGCTTTTTTAAACTATTTCACTAATAATAAGTTTTTTTAAAACTTTTTTAACTTAAATTACTTTATTTTAATTTGCATAATGATAGAAAAAGCTGTAAAATTTTTTATTTTGAATAATATACATATTATCATTAATATGTTCTCAGTTATATAAAAATAGTATAATAAAAAGTTATGTAATATATAAAACAAATTACTAGAAATATTCTCCAAAGGGAATAAAAGAGTATAGTCTTTGATATCATTTTCTCTGAATAATGATTTTATAAAATTAAATTCCATTTAAGTGATTTTAGAGAATGGCTAGAATAATATATTTTAGGATTTTTAACCTTTTTTTCCTTTATTTTAGAAAATGCAAAATTAAAATATAATTTTGATCAAAATTATATTAACTACAAATGTCTAAAAATATAAAGTGTGTAACATTATTATAATCTTAATTCCTTTTCTTTTTAGGAAATAATATTATTTCTAGCCATCTTCTTACTATTTATATCATTGTACTTTTTGACTTATTTCTGGCTTTAAGATAAAACTCTAGGTAAAATTAAAATAAGTTTCCAATTTTATAAGGTAAAAGTAAATATAAGTTTATACAAGTTTCAATAAATAATAAGGTAAAATTGTATATAAAATTTAAAATTTAATATTTACTAATTTGAAATATTATGTAACAATTATTACAATATTTGCTAATATATTAGATTTATATTTTATAATTTTATTTTCAAAATAAAAAATTTATTCTTTTTTTTATACTTGTAAAAATCATTTTATATTTTTGGTTTTATTTATATTAGTACTATTTTTTTGAAATTATTACAAAAATTAGCTTTTAAAATATAAAAATTCATATAATAATTAGTAACTTTAAAAATTTAATTTCAATATTTTAATTAATAAAATCATATTTTACTATTTAAAAAAGTTATTAGTTAGATTAAACTACTTATATTTGAATTTTTATAATAGTTATAACTTAAATTTACATTTTTCATTTATTAAATTCAGAACATAATTTAGGCATTTAATAAAATTACTTTTTTACGCTTAAATGAAGTTGTTTGGTAAGGTTAAAACTATTTATATATTAATTTTATAAGAATTAGTTTAATATTTTTTATTTTTATTTTCTCAATAAATATTTTTATAGTAATTGGATTAATATACTAGTAAAAAATGATCTATTCTACATATATCTTATATATATCAGGTACTCAAAATATAAAAATTCTATATAAATAATATACATATCATATATATATCGAGTACTTATATATATATTATACAAATATTAGATATCTAATAGATATATGATATATATAAGTACTTAATGTGTATATAATATATATATTATTTGTGTTAGGGTTAGGGTATGTTGAATTAGGGTTTGGATTAGGGTTAGGGTTAGATTAGGATAGTGGGTAGTGTTAGTAATGTGGACTTTATAATTTACTAATTATTTATTTTTTTTTTTTAGATGATTGTAATAATATAGGTAACGATATGATCTTGTCTAATGAGAATCACCATACATTATTGTATTTGAGAAGAAAGTTTAAATCATGGAAAGCTTGTAAAAATTTTATTATTATATGGGCCAAGCAGCAGGGCTTTCAAATTATTAAGGATTGTGTAGTACGTTTAGAAGGTATAATCCATTGTCGTACATATATATATTCTCACAGTTGTACCTATGAATCAAATTCTACTAGAGACACTGTTACAAAAAAAATTGGTTGTCCGTTTGTTGTCAATGCATCATGCCCAAAATTGAAAAACCCTGAGGAATATGTGATTATTAATAAGATAGTTGAACAATATAACCATCCTTTAGATGTATCAATAGTTGAATTTGAAGATTACATTAAATTTTATTTCTATAACTAGGAACAAGAAATTTAACGTTGGGAATAATTAATTAGAATGCATGAATAGAAATAATGTATCAATAGAAAAAATGTATTAATCGAAAGAATGTATCAATAGAAAGATAATAGTAATATGTTAATAATTGTTAATAATTAATTTGTATAGTTATTGCTTTGCTTTAATAAAAATAATGATAAACTAATCACATGATAATAGTCTAAACATGTGATATTTGAGGACTAGCGATATATCGCCGTAGCGATAAAAAAAAAAATCCAAATAAATATTATAAATATCAAAAGTTTAACTGAAAATAATATTAAATGGAAAACAAGTATATTTGCCAGTAGTATAGTTTTAAGTTTCAATAAAGAAAAGGTTTGTGAACAAGCATGCAGATGACAAAAAAGATGTAATATTTACTGGAAAAAATTATTTAAGTTATTTAATTAGATTATTAACTTTAAATTATTTAGTTATATTTAAATTATTTAGTTAATATTTAGTTTATTTAGTTAATATATTTAGTTTATTTTATTACTAAATAACTTAATTTAAGCTGTTTATGACTAAATAATATAATTATAGAGTTGATCACCCTATCTCAGTAGTTGGTTACTGAGACCCTCATTAAGCCTGAGTATGGTGAGGTCGCAGGTTCGATTCCCATGATCACGGAAATAAAAAGAATTTTACTGCGGACGCTACCACCAATAGCGTGAAGATATAGGGATTAGGTAGTTAGACTGCACTATGGTGAATTAGTGTATACGGTTAGGCCGCACATTTCAACAAAGGGTTATGGTGTTCTTCTAACGTTCTCTATGAGGTCATTAGGATATTCAGAGTCCTGTCTGTAAGGTCACTACTTGCATACCTTGAGGGTAATTTCCTGTCCAGGTGGTCACTCAAATGATACCGCTTGGGGTCCAATGTGGCTAGATGGTTATTATAAATGGTAAAATCCTGGGTGCAATGACTTTGTGGTAGTTTACCTTCTAATAGGTTTAGGCCAACTAGGATATTCCTGAACAGACAGGTGTACTAGGTGAGGTATGGGGTTCAATTCCCTACTAGGCGGGTACTGGGTGGCAGCTTGGGTGGTAGGGCACCACTGGGAATAATCCCAAACAAGCGCGTTTGTACTATCTCATGTTCTCTCTGTCTCAGTGGTCACTACTATACCATTGGGGGATTCACAACTGTACCTTGGGGCTAAGGAATCGTGGGGCTGTAGTGGCCTTGAGTGAGCCTTAGTTCAATTCTGAAGTATGAATGTTGGTACGGAAGGGTTTCTAGATAATTGCCATTACATCTGATACTGAAAGTCCTCCATTACTAAGACAAGCCAGGGTGGCATAATATAAATTCGAGCTTGTCTTGCCTCTAGAATGGATAAAGGATGAGTAGGGGGTTATAGCTAGCCAGTTAGTATTCCGTCGATGGATAGGGACTATCCTGAGGTCAAACTAAAATGGCAGTTGTAGTGATAATAAGATTTGCCTACTGACACCAGTTGGATGGTAGTCGTTGGTAAACGTTGGACTACCATGCTATAAATAGGTTCTTAAATGTGAACCTTTACCTTGAGTCAAATAACAAGACTAAATAATATAATTATATTATTTAGTTATAAATGGCTTTATTATATTAAACTAATTGGTATATTTATATATATATTTACTTCTAGACTTTTAGTATATCAAATGTAATTGTTTTTTAACACTCTTTTAACACTGTATATATTACTAATATTAGATTCAATATATACAGGACCCCGGATATCTCCAAAACAGGTCATAAGTCACACTTTTGGCAGATTGGCCCATTTTTCAGAATCGTCTTTTGTAAATATCTCGGCATCTAGTAGTCCAATTTTGATGAACATTTTTTTAAATTGTAGAGTTAAATGAGGGCTACAAAATAAAAAAAAAGTTCATTAAAATTGAATCACTGGATGCTGAGATATTTACAAAAAACGATTTTTTGAGTTTCAGCAAAAAGGGGTGTTTTTGGCCAAAAGTCCATTATGACCTTTATATTAGATATCCGGGGTCCTATATATACTATGTAAAAACTCTAAATTTAATAATTTAAAAATTAATTATTTTTTTAAATTTTTTTTTATTTTATTAAATATTTTAGAAATTTAAAATTTTTTTGATATTTAAAATTCTATTTATTATACCTTTATTTGTGCATAATTCTGGCTAAAAGCTATTTAGATATTTTAGCTAACTAATAATCCAAATTCAATAAAATTTATACCATTAATTTGTCTTAATGAAAGAAATCTAATGATAATAATTTTATTTTTCTAACTTGAATATTTACAATATGAAGTGATTTTTTATTTAACATAAATAAAAAATGTTTGGTAAATTTGCATTTTTATGGTTTTTTATATATTTAAACAAATATAGCTAGTAGGTGATATAAAAAAAATTTATACTGAAAGTTATGCTGGAATCAAATCTTAAAAGCATATAATAATTACTAACTGATATTTTGCCCAAATGGAGCTATGGGAATTTAGCATATAGTAACCATAGTAAATATAATAAATTTTTAAAAATAATAAAAATGATATTTGAAAGGGATTCTTTGAGTATCAATTTTTTTTGTATTGAAATTTATAATTGGATAAACAAAATTTGAATTTGATTTGTTAATCACATGTATTATTTAAACTAGCAAAATTTTTTACAATTTATTCTTTAGATTCTGAATTTTAAAATGCAAAAAAGAGTATTGAAAAATCTCTAGAAACAAACACCAGATGAAAAAGATTTCCAAGGTCCCCCTGATATATACACTACATTACACCTTTTTTTGACGGCAATAAAGTAAATTTGAATCATGTATAAGAAAAGAAAATTAAATCGCCGTTATTATGATTTCTTCATATAAATCATTAATTAAACTATGGAACCATTGAAAGAAAATTGAAATCGCCTTGTTATGATTTTCATTTATTTGTCATCGTCGTATAAATGAAAGTCAAACTATTCACTGCTTTACATTGGGTTGCTACCATCGCCAAAGTGGAAACCTCCTTGAGGCATATTTACATCTGTTTGGAAAGCAAATTGACCCGTAGTCGCGTCCATTTCAGGAGCCAAATTAGGATCCTCTTCTTCGTCTTCCGCAAAGTATTTGTCGATTATATGATAGGCTTTCTTGTAAATTTCAAGATTTTCGTGATTCTGCAAGTTGTGAATTTTCTCCATGCCACCTGCCTCTTCAACAAACAAGGCGAATTGATTTATGCCATCAGCTTTATCAATTTCACCAACTTTTAGAATATTCTCAAGACCATCAAGCGCAACTTGGATGATTTTATTATCCATACAAACCAATAAATCACAAAGTGGTTTGATACATCCTTGACTGACAAGATATTTGATTTGTTCAGGTTTATTCAAACCACCAGATGTTGCATTGGAAATAGCCCAACATGCTTCCTTACGAGTCTTAAAATCAGCGTGCTGCAAGATATTGATAAGAGGTGGTATAATATTCGCATCAATAACAGCCTGTATCTGAGCACAATTTCCAGCAGTAATATTAGAAATTGTCCAACAAGCTTCCTTACGAAGTCCATCCTTTGGGCTAGATAGTAGACTCAATAAAGCAGGTAAAGCACCACAATTGATAATAACTTGAGTTTGAACATCATCACCGGTAACAATATTTCCAACTGAACGTAACGCAGGAGTTTGAACAGACGTTGATGAGTGCCTAAATAAAGAAATAAATATATATATTAATATAAAACAATGAAATTACTTTAATAAATAAAAATCTTACATTAAAAGCTCAACAAGTCGACGACAAACACCAGATTCAATAACTGCTTGTATTTTTTCATTATTCCCATCTGATAAATATGAAATTGCCCAGCAAGCATCAATAAGAACCTCATCATCAATAGAATAGATGAGTTTAGCGAGGACTGGAAGAGCGGGAGCGATCTAAAATCATGATGTTATATTCGTTAATATAATTAAGAGAAAAGAAGCCATTTTAAGTTATATCCTACCAAGTTCCAGTCTGGTTGAGGGCTCTTGCCACGACAGAAGTTAGATAAGGTCCAAGTTGCATTTCTCAACATTGAAAGTTTATTATGTTCATTCAAAATAGCCAATAAAGGTCTAAGAGCTCCTTCACGCAAGACATAATCACGACATGGGGGGCTGTCACCAGCGATATTACCTAAAGCCCAAACAGCCTAAAGTTCAAATAGTAATATATGATGTAAAATTAATAAAATTAAATAATAAAGAGTGAAGATGGTAAATACCTGTTCTTTAACATCAGCGACTGGACTGCTCAATAATTCAACAAAGATAGGAACAGCTCCAGCATCAATCACGACTTGAGTTTGTTGTGAAGATCCTGATGCAATATTAGTTAGAGCCCAAGCTGCTTCAAACTATCAATCGATCAAAATTACGTTAATAAATATTTAAAGCTAACAGAGCCTATATTAATTACTTACTTGAACCAAAGAGTGAGGAGATCTCAAGAATTCCACAAAACGAGAAACAACCCCACATTCAATAACTTGTTCAATTGGGGGATTCCTTTCCTTAGAAAGCAACTTTCTAAACTTGGTAGTTGCTTGCAGTTGTTCTTCTACGTTATCAGAGAAAACCCCATGTATCATACCAGGTAATTGTTCTTGGAGCTAAGCGAAATAAAAAGGATAAGTATTAAATTGTCATAGTAAATATTATCATATATAAGTATAAAAGTGTCAAAAATATATAAAGTTCTCTATTATGTAAAGGTAATTTATAAACTTAAACGGAAATGTATAGGAAACCAACTATTGTGATCTATGAAAAAAAATATCTAATAGCTTGGTCGCGTATATCTCGATGCAACTCAATCGTAGTACAGAGAATGCTGCAAATGTTATACTGTTCATAAGGCGACAATTAAATATTATAACTTACCTGAGCGTTGATGGTGGCAACAGCAGCTTCATCATCCGAGTCAGGGGAAGCAGGTACATTAAGATTACGGCGTTTCGCCAAGGATTCTTCACGATTCTTTCGACGAATTTCTACTTGTAATTCTTCACGACGTCTGCGTAATTCGTCTGCCTTAAAAACAGCTTTTGTTTTAAAAGCATTTTTCCTATGTTCAGGTATTTTATCCATGTTATTCGTTTGTTTTGTGGTATATGCTAGACGCGATCACTCGAACCACTATTAACCCCTCCTCAAGGACAAGAAAGGGAAATGGTACTTCAAACTTGCTAAAATAAAAAAAATCTTTTTGACGGAAAGAGAGCAAAATTGACTACAAATCATGTGATTGCTACGGCTAATCAATAAATGTATAATATCCGAATAATCCGATTATGAAAGTTCCTTTATTATATACTATGAAAGTGTCAGAACTCAGAAGTGCCAATTAAAATTTGTATTCATGTTCATGTGGGTCGTTGCCGAATTAATAAACAATATAGAAAATCAATTAGATCTCGGATACGGTCGAGCATCGATGCCCATTCCGGATAGTATGATCATTCCAGATAAAAAGATAAAGCGTAATTTTTCATTTTTTATTCGTCTTTTTTTTTCTATTTCTTTTTGAAAGAGAAATGTCTGATCAGAACAGTAAGAAGGCTCTTGTGATAGTAACAGACGGCTCAGAGGAAATAGAAACAGTGGTATCCGGTGTGTATTTTATGACTCAAACAAGAGATCGCGCAATAATAAATTTTCATTGATTTTTTATTTAGTTAGCGTGCTACGACGTGCGCAAATCGATGTGACGGTTGCTGGAATTACGCTACAAAATGAAAATTACGCGAAGTGTAATCGTGGTGTTAAGATTGTGCCGGATCAATCTCTATCAAATATTTCCAATTTTGTTTGTAATCTTTATTAATCTGTTCTACCAAGTGTTTAGAATTATGTAATAAAGAATTTGAATTATATTATTTCAAAAAAAGGACATCTATGATGTTATTGTTATTCCGGGAGGTTTAAACGCTGCAAAAGCTATTTCATCCAACCCTGAGGTTCAAAAATTGTTAGCTTCGATGCATCAAGCTGGCAAATTTGTCGCTGCAATTTGTGCTGGTATTTACATAAATCTTTTTGCTTAATCAAATTCATGCTTTATTTTCTGTCGTTTTTATTTTATTTAAATTTATTTATGACAGGAACACTCGCGATTAAGAGCGCAAACATCAATAAAGGAGGAAAAATCACGTCTCATCCAATCGTTAAGGCTGATTTAGAAAATGGTTAATAGTTTTCTGTTTAATAAATATTCAAAAAATATTAAACTAAGTTACAAATTTTGTTTAGAATATAGTTACCAAGAAGATCGTGTTGTGGTTGACAATAAAGTCGTCACCAGGTAATTATAATTTAAAACTCAACTCATATGTATCTTAATTAAATAACAGATAATAATTTATTTATTTATTATAACACTAGCCGGGGACCAGGTACTGCGTTACTTTTTGCATTAACAATTGTCGAACTGCTTCTTGGTGAAGAAAAACGCAATGAAGTCTCTAATCACATGATCGTTGCATCTATTTTGTAAAATTCCATATTTTGCTATTTGTAACATATTTAATCTTTCGATTCAACTGATTTCCTGAAAAAAAAAAAAATTTAAATGTATTTCTTTTTCTTTATCGTATATAATAAAATATTATAAATTATAATTGTCAAACCCTAAACTACTACTATTGTTAATTACCTCATGTAGATCAATTAGAATGATAATTTTGGTAATACATATTATAGCATATTATAACTCGATATTTTTGCGAAATTATTACGAAGTATACAGCTCGACTTCGACAAATAGCTTTCACTGCTCTATATCGGCACAATTTGTTTTGTTCCGTTTTTACTTCTAGAGCAGTAGCTGTTCAGAATAAAAAATTCTTTATCAGCTGCGGCAAAGTTAGCCTCGGTTTACACTAACAAAATGGACAGGACTGTACCAAAGAGGAGCTCGAGCATGCCTTCTGGATCTCCTCCAGCGGCTAACTTGCTCGACGATCATATCTTCTCCAGCAATGTTGAAGATTATGACATTAATGCTAACAGTCCTATAGGTTGATATTATTATTATTTTTTCTCTTAATGACACAACTTTTCAAACTGGCACATTTCCCTAATATCTAGTTTATAGTCTCGATGAGACGTGATATTAGTTAGCATACGTTATTAGTATACTGTATTGTTTTCTCCATGAAAAGTTACAAAGGCCTTTTCCAAAATATTAACATCTTAATTTGTTCAATTTTCAAATAGGTTATGGTGCATCTGCTATTGTTTATGGTGCTGTATATAAACCTTTGAACAAAAAGGTTGCCGTCAAAATGATAGATTTGGATTTTTTTGAACGAAATCAAATTGATGAAGTTAGGGTAATTGTCAGTTAGTTTTTTCTATTGCATTTGAACGAGTTAGCATCATTTCATTTATGTACTTCGTATTATACTAGAGAGAAACACAATTAATGTCTCTATCGAAACACGCGAATGTGTTGCGTGTTTATGGCTCGTTTGTAAATGAATCAAAACTTTTTATTGTTACTCCTTATATGTCTGCTGGTAGGTCTGGTTTATAATATTCTTATTAGTAAAGATTAGATTAGATATTGTCAAGCATTGTATGAACATGTTGAAAGATGTCTACCAATATTACCAGGTTCGTGCTCAGACATCATGAAGACCGCACATCCTGATGGCTTTGAAGAAAATATCATAGCAACTATTTTAAAGCAAGCTCTTCAAGGATTGGATTACTTGCATAAAAATGGGCATATTCACAGGTAAGTTATTTATTTTCGTGGTATAAGAGTAAATTTCACCAGAAGTGTATAATATATTATCCATAAAATATGATAATAGAGATGTAAAGGCCGGTAATCTTCTTGTGGATAAAGATGGATCAGTCTTGCTTGCTGATTTTGGTGTATCGTCTTCTCTTACAGAAAATGGTGATAGGAAAGGCATTCGAAGAACTTTCGTTGGCACAGTAAATGGATATTTTTTTTTGTACTTTCAAAGTAGTTTATTTATTTTAATTATATTAACAAACGCATTTTTTTCTTTTTGTTTTTTTATGCTTTGTTAGCCATGTTGGATGGCGCCAGAAGTCATGGAACATGCAGGTTATGATTATAAGGCCGACATTTGGTCATTTGGAATTACGTCCCTTGAGTTAGCAACTGGAAATGCACCTTTTGCTAAGTACCCACCCCTTAAGGTATGTAATCACATAATATACAAGATTCATATTATTTTTGTGAATATTTTTTAATTACTCACTTCATTACTTTTTTTTTAGGTAATCATGGTTACACTTTCTAAAGAACCTCCTACTCTTGACAGAGAGTCAACAAAACATAAGTATACAAAGACATTTAAGGATATGATCGATATGTGTTTACATAAAGATCCAACTAAACGGTGCTCATATTTAACAAGAAATGTATTGCTTTCTTTTTATTAATATTTACCACTTACCTTATTCATTTTTTTTCTAGGCCATCTGCTGAAAAATTGTTAAGTCATCCATTTTATAGAGTTGCTAAAAGAAAAGATTATCTTGTGAGCAAAATATTGCAGCATTTACCACCGTTGGAAGAAAGACCTCACAAAAGTATGCGCTTTCTTGCTCAATTTAAAATTTTTATTTAAAACAATTTATTTATATATATATTCATATTTTTAGGGGTTCAACAAAAACCCATTACATATACTAAGGGAGTTACATGGGACTTTGCGGTTGATAGTGAACACCGTGATAATGATGATCAGGAAAATTCTATTTTACAAGCAAATGAAGGGAAACCGGAGGGGAAGCGAGTTGAATTTTCCGATACTAACGATAATACCGACACTAAATCAGATTCAAGTGCTGTTACTAATGTACCGCCAAAAAAGTCGCGGTTTTTGGTTGGAGATGCTGCTACAGAATCAAAAGTACCTTTGTCTCTATCTGTACCTACAATTTCTTCTACTGTATCTGTTACTCCTCAAAGTCCATTATCCAGATCTCAGCCTCCTTCTGCTGGAACAAACTTTGTATCTAATCCACTATCACCAGGAGAAAAAGATGAACAGAATGCTCAGCGTCTACAGCCTCAGCAATCGCAAGAAATTAGAAAGGGAAGGTTCAGTGTTATTGAGAGTAATGGATCTAAAGAAAAGACCTCATCATCTGGATCGCAACATGAATCTGATAATAATCAACGTCCTCCTATATCAAAAGAGCGGTCCAACGAGAAATTAACAGGTGACCCATAATAAATATGGTACTTGCGACGTACTGATTTAGATATTTCATCTTTTAAAAAATTTATTTTATAAATTTTAACACTTTTCATAATAATATAAAACAATTAACATGTATATATATAGAAAATTATAAGAAGAGTAGATTTGAAGTTCAACATTCTCCTGATATGTCTATTATATCTTCATCAGTTTTTCAAAATATTTCTCGAGAGAATACTGTTCATTCACCTATTTCACTTTCTCGTGAATCAACATTGTCAAAAGGTGATACATCATTTTCTAGGGAAGGTACTATCAATAGAAGTAATGGAGGTTCTTTAGATGCGCAAACTACAGAAAAACCAATGGGTACTAAAAAAGGAAGATTTCAGGTGTCTATTGATGTACCACCAAAGATGGATGGATCAATATCTCCATCAGGTATAGAAAATGTTGGAAAAAAATAATATATATTTATTTATTTTATGGTTGTTTATTAAACAGCTATTGTAAAGAAGCAATTAGGGTTTTTACAATTTTAAAATTATTTAACTTTATATACAAAAAATGAAATAAAATTTTCAATCTTTTCCCTCTGCTTTCTCACTTTTTCTTTCTTTCTTTTTTTTTTTGTTATTTGTATATGAATTTGTTTAATTTTTGGCTTGACCAAATTTAAAACCAGGGAACTTACTTACAGCTGAGACAACATTTTCTCCACAATCAACTTTCTTGGGCCACTCGCCCAATATCTCGCCTTCATCATCCATCTTACGCGGCCAAGGTCAACATATGATGAGTTCTGCGAATTATCCTAAGTATAATAGTGAGAAAACTGAAAAAACATCTAGTTTACTTACAACTTTATTACAACAAAACGAAATACAACGAGCAATATTGAACGAGATTATTGTTTCAAATGGTAATCATTTTACATCAGCTGTGGCTGGAAGAATACATTCACAGCAAATCCCAAATGTGAATGGTAATACAGGAATTAGAAGTTCACCAAAGGAGATTTCTTCATATTTGGTATAAATTAAATTTGCAGATCTTTTATTTGGTTTATATGAAAGTGGTTAATGAAACATTGTTATTTGCATATTTGAATTTTTTGATCATATATTAGAGTATACTGGATCGGCAATTCCAATACATTTCTCGAGATAATGATGAATTACGTAAAGAAAATGAGATTCTGCGGAGAGAAAATGAAAGTTTACGAAAAGAAAATGGAAAATTAAAGAAATTAACAACTTTGAATTCAACTTCAATCAACGATAGTATATTTATTCCCGAAAATTTGACAGTTAATTCTATTTCAACTACATCATCGTCAACGAAGTCTACAAGTAGTTATAATATAAACAATAAATCAAAAACATTGCAATAGATAATTGAGTGGCTATCTACTTAATAGTAATTTCACTAGGTTTATTCATCAGGTAAAGTTTATCGTATTATTTTATTATTACATGAAAATCCGTAAAAAAATCATGCATATAGATATATCATAATCTTTTAAATCATTTTCCTATTAATATTTTTTTTTTTATTTTATAAATAATGAAATAATGTGAAGAGAAGGAGACTAGAAAGCCGGCGGAAAATTTAAATTTTTAAAATAATTATGATTTAGAACTTTAATTTTTTATTTATAGAGATAATATAGAGATAATATAATATTAAAAGTTTATCCTTGTAAACTGGAACATGCAGATCATCCACGCGAATGTTAATTCAATACATATGATGAACGTCAACTTCACATGACGAAAAAAGGTTATATTAACCCTTTTAATACTAAATCAGAAAAATTTGTAATAGTTATGTATTCAGAATTGATAAAATAAAAATGTGATTTTGTGAATTTATAATTTTTATAAATCATAAATGTCCACTAATTTAGTAAACTTATGGAAAGCGAAATCAGAATTGACAGTAGGAGAAATAACAAGGTATAGAATATATTTTGATCCAAGAAAACTGGGGATAAGTACGGCATGGCCTCCAAATAGCTTGATGTTAAAAGTTAAAAATACCACACCATTTATATATAGAGGAGCAATACTAGCAGGACCATTTAATATTTCAGCAACTTGTGTTGAAACTAGTAGCTGTTTTAATATTCCCAAACAACCAACTGAATTAATTGTGCCACAAATTAAAGCTGGAATAAAATGTGGAGAAACTTGGAAAATATCATTAAGTATACCCGACGAAAGAGAAGAGTGGATTGGAGATTGGACTATTGAAATTTTAAGTGATATAATATTTACTTGTAATAGAGTACAATATGAAATATCATTATTTTCCGTGATAGGTGATGGAACACTTATTACAGATGAAGTTAAAATTGCAAATATCAAAAATACATATAAAGACGATTTTACTTTAATCGAGATATTTTCACCTACAATAACCTATGAATATTTTAAACCAAAAGATGTATTTTATTTACCAGATCTCACTACTATAAATAATGTTAATAGAGAAATTGAAGATACTCAAGATACAAAAAGATCAGTTCATCTTGTTGTATTGACTCATGGGATACATGGATCCATGCTAGATGAATTATATTTAAGGGAAGTTATTGAAGAAAAGTGTAAACATAAATTAGAACATGAAGTCGTTGTTTATATGTCTGATGTTAATCATTCCGTTACCGAAGATGGAATTGAAAAATGTGGTAAAAGGTTAGCTGAAAGTATTTTAGAATATATTGGATGGCCTTGGATTTCCTCTAATTCCACAAGTTCTTCTGTTTCCAAAGATGTTGCTAAAGGACCTTTAATATCACAAATATCATTTATAGGACATTCATTAGGAGGTTTAATTAATATCTTTCTTATAGGTTATTTAAATAGTGTAACCAATGGAATATTTTTTAAAGAGGTTGAACCTGTACATTATATAGCAATAGCATCACCATTACTCGGTTCAACAGATTTAGCTTGGTATATTAAAATTGGTATGGAATGGGGTGCGTTAGGTCAAACTGGTAAAGATTTAGCGTTAGTTCCAAGATCAAAAGTTGAACAACATTCTGCATCAGGTGTTTTGAAAGAACAAGATCCCCCCACTGTTGATTCATTTAATGAAGAACCTTTATTATTATCTTTATCACGTCCAAATTCTTCTTCTCATATAGCATTAAAATTATTTAAAAATCGTACTTTATATGCTAATACTTCCAATGATATAACTGTTTCTCTAAGGACTTCTTCTCTTTTTTTCATAAGTCACAATGATGAAGATTTCATTAAAGATCAATATAATACTACTATATTTGATCATTTTAAGCATTTGTTAAATGCCATAAATCCTCCAGCAACTACAAAGGAATATCTTACCAGATCTTTTTCTGATAAATCTCCTATTCTTCATGATAAATTATATACTCCTAATGACATACCTCCTATCGCTTCCGATGAAGAAGAGGATGAAGATTTATTTATTGAAGAACAGATGGCTAGATTTTGGCATGAAGATATGACTTGGCGCAAAGTACTTGTCAGTCTTGAAGGCGAAGCTCATACTCATGTAATTGTACGTAGGAAGTGGATAAATGCAGCCGGTTGGCAAGTTATTGATCATTTATTAAATAATCATGAATTTTAAAGTTGTCTGAATAAATTAATGAATTCATAAACTATTTATTATACTTAATATATATTTAATTAAACTGAATTATAAAAGAAAATTATGTATACAAAATTTAAGTTTCGAATTATTATTTCTAATGTACACCATTTTTCCATGCAAATATGTTATTATCAAAGTTCCCACTTATCACTATTTATGGGTTCTTTATTTTTTAATTGCGTAAATATCGCCTAATAATATAAATATTGTTAATAAAAGGTAGTCGTTTTATTGTTTGAAGAATGACATAACGAAACCTACAATGAAGTTCTAACCTTGGCAATGTTTGTAATTTTTGCGTGTTCGTTATACTTTATGATGTTACTATCTGTGTATTTTATTACTTCATGCAACAAATTATCAAGTATCGGCAATACCACTAAAAGGTAAATCAAATTATTAGCTCTAATAAAAATGTATCAAAACAACACAACACTTACATGGCTCCTGCGATTGTTTTAGAAAAGGGTCGGTTAATAATTGGGGTATAGTTAAACGTGTCTTTTGATTCCTCTCGAGGCATCCTTTCATGATACGAATCAAATTTTCATCCACTATATTGTCACTTTGATTATTTGTTGTGACTGGAAATGAAATAATATAATTTTCATCAAGTATAGCCTTGTACTTTTTGGACATATTTAAATGAGAGAATGGAGTATGACCATAAACCATCTGATAAAGAATGCATCCAAGTGACCAAACATCGCTTGGCCGACCTTGCTATATATGTTACGAAATATTATGAATTGCGCGCGTTAACATTAACCCACATAAATAAAAATTAATTTACCTTTAGACATTTCTTTCCACTTTTGTTTGTTTCTGGATCACTTGTGTCGTTGAGTGCTTCCGGCGACATGTAATTGATAGTACCTACCTAAAGATATTGTGAATATCATAAAAAAAAAATAGTAAAGCAACCATTTTCTGGATTTATAAGAAATTTCATACGTGCTGGTCTCTGTGAATATTAGTTGTGTCATTTGGTATAGTTTTTGCAATACCAAAGTCAATTAATTTTAATTTCTCGTTTACTATTATGAAATTTGCCGGTTTTAAATCAGTATGCACGATTTTTTCTAGTTGTATCGCGTATACAGCATTTAACATCTAATAATTAAAAATGATCGTAAATACTTTGTTTTTTCAATCAATTTAATAATAATAATAATATTGAATATCAATTTTTACCTGCTCCCAATAAAACCGGATAACGTTTAAATTTATTGGTATCCCATTTTGTGAATATAAATAGTGGGCAAAATCTTGTTCTCCACATTCTAATAACTTAAATAAAAAAAGTAATAAAAAGAAATGAAAATTTATCTCTAAATTATAAGTAGATTAATGAAATGAAAGATCAATCAACCATTAATAAATATCCCTTTTCTTTGTTTATTTCAGCATCATACAAATTTATTATGCCGTCTCTTCCGGATAAACGTTTTAATAAGGATACTTCATTTATGTAACTAGACAATACATTATCATCGACCCTTTCAAAAGTGACTTTTTTTATGGCGTAAACTTGACCATTTGAATTTGTCACTTTATAAACTTTACTACTACCTCCACGACCAAGTAATGCGTGACGCTTATATGATTTTCCATTAAGCTATTAATAAAGCTTAAAAATTAATCACTTATTAAAAAACAAAAAAATGTTTTTCATAAAAAGTATTTACCATTATTATATCTTTATTCGCTTTTATATTTTGTGTCTGTTCAGTTATGATTGCGCTAGATTTTGTAGGTAGAAGCTCTGATTCAGTCACTTTGGGTGGTGAATGATCTTTAACGGTTTCACCCTGACAGTGAAATACGCCACCTTGTAATTCAATTTCTTGGTGGCCAACTTTTGATGAATGCTTTAACAGATTATAATCTGGTTCAATCTCATTAGCTGATCTTTTAGGCTTTAGATGTGTATATGGTCTATCTGCCTCCAATAACAAATCATGCTCTTTACTATCTAAGCAATTTATATAAAGAATGAGACTTTAGCAAAATAACACCATGTAGAAAATATTTCATAACAGAAGTATTACCTGAAAATTTCCAACGACTAAGTTCGGCACCAAAATCATTTGGTTCTTCTTCTTCTTGAACTGGTTCTTGTATCTTTTTTACTCTTTGTGGTGGACCTGCTCAGGATCGAACTTAATAATGTTAATACTCTTTTACAATTTAATAGAAAAAAATTACAAATGATAACCAATTACCAAGATTACGTGCAGTAGTTATCGTTCTTCTCCGTCGTCTTATAACTGAACCATGTTTCTGCAATCTTAGCAAAACGTAATTAAATTAATCATTTAATTATTTTAAAGTATTAATTAAATGCTAATTAAACTAAATTGTTTATTCACTTATCAGTAATCGCTGGAGTTGATAAGCCGCAATGAGCTACATTGTCAATATTGTTATTCGATTGCGAAAAGAACTCTTGTGGATGAGTTGTAGCTGGTGTTTCCAAGCCCTATAATAAAAATGCTTAAAGAAAAGTATATAATACTTTTTATATATATATATATATATTTTACCTCGTTTGCGTATTCACGATGAAACAAATTTGTTAGGTTTGAAAGCCGACTACGGTCTTCTAGTATTATTATATCTCCTATTTCTTTTCCTGGTTTCGGTTTGCCTTCCATTTGAAAGTTAGTTTTAAAATGGTATCTTTTTTTTTTTTTTATAATATTAAAATACGCGTCGTAAACCCGATAAACGCGCTGAATTATGTCTGTACATCTGTACAACAGTTCTAATGGTAACACTACTGGTAACACCATGTTTAGTAACTTTTCCATATATGGTGAATATTTTCTTGATGAGATCGAAAATTTTTTTTTTGAATTTTTTTAGTCGTCTGTTAGTTATTTATTTTGAATCATGGGAAAATTGAAGCAAAAAGGGAAAGCTGGGGCAGCTGTAAATTACATAAATCGAAATAAAGCCCTAAAAAAGCTACAAATTTCACTTGCGGATTTCAGGTATACAATTGACATTCTTTTAAGTTAAAAAAAAACTCAATTAATTATTATTATTTTTTTTTTTTTTAAAAAAAAAAAGACGATTATGTATTCTTAAAGGAATTTATCCTAGAGAACCGAAAAATAAAAAAAAAGCTAATAAAGGTTCTACAGCTCCAACAACTTTTTATTATACAAAAGATATTCAATATCTTGCTCATGAACCAGTCCTTCAAAAATTTAGAGAACATAAAATATTTTTAAGAAAATTAAATAAAGCAATAGGTAAAAGAGAATTTAGTATTGCGAAGAATTTAGAACAGAATAGACCAATTTACACATTAGATCATATCCTTAAAGAAAGGTAAATGAGCACAAATTTTTCTCTCATTCCGTTTGAAATATTTAACTAACACTTGTTTTTAATTATAGATATCCTACTTTCACTGATGCATTAAGAGATATTGATGATGCTTTGTGTATGCTGTTCCTATTTTCTACATTTCCCGCAACTGATAAAATAAAATCAGAGATAGTTACAAATTGTCAAAGAATATGTGTTGAATTCCAACATTATATAATTCATACTAGAAGTTTGCGTAAAGTATTTTTATCAATTAAGGGAATTTATTATCAAACAGAAATTAAAGGTCAAACAATCACTTGGTTAGTACCTTATCAATTCAGTCAACAGGTAAGTTAAACCTTTTTTTTTTAATTAATTTTATTGTAATAAAATTTTTTTCTTAAATATTTCATTTTATAACAGGTTCCTGATGATGTTGACTTTCGTGTTATGCTCACTTTTTTGGAATTTTACCAAACTCATCTTGGCTTCGTAAATTTCAAATTATACACTGACGTAAATCTAGTCTATCCACCAAAAGTAGATTCATCTAAAGACGAAGGTGCAGCTGGGTTGGGTGCTCTTATTATCGAGACTACAAATAATCTCGTAGGGTTATCTTCTACTTCACAAGATAGTGAAATAAAAGAGGAATCGAATAATACTGTAAGTTTTATTTACGTGATCATAGTTTATAAAAAAAATGTTGACCGTGTATTTGTTTACAGGATCGTAAGGCTGAATCCGAAAAACGACTAAAGACTTTATCAAAGAAACTTGCAATTATTAAAGAACAAGTAGAACCAACATCAGAAATACAACCTGATATTACAGAAAAATCTGAAACTACTAATAGCGATGACAACGCAGAAATAATGGATGAATTTACAGAACAAAATAATATTTCACAAGATCAAAAACATATCTCAAAGATATATACATATCGTGATATACAAAATGCATCAGTTGCTTTAACAGAATTCGAAAATCTGTTTTCTAATTGTATTTTTTACTTGTCACGTGAAGTTCCAAGATATTCTTTAGAATTTATTATTCGTGCTTTTGGTGGTCAAGTTGGTTGGGATGAAACATGTGGTATTGGTTCCCCATTTAATGAAAGTGATGACCGTATTACACATCACATTGTTGATCGTCCTACTTTAAGTCATAAGTCTTTACTCCGTATATATGTTCAACCGCAATGGGTTTATGATTGTGTTAATATTAGAAAATTATTAAAGACCGAACCATATCAACCCGGTAAAACTTTACCTCCTCATTTATCACCTTTTGTTGAATATAAGGAAGGCGATTATGTACCTGATGCTAAGAATGAATTTGAAGGTGATATGGAAAGAATGGAAGTGTCAAATGAACAAGATACAGAAGAGGAGGAAAGTTCAAATGAGGAAGATGATAGCGATGATGATAAGCCCGAAATATGTTCTTCTCACGACAAAATAACAGTTAAAGTTAATGAGGTAAGATAATATGATCAATTTTCATTTTGTTTATAATTATTGATATTGTCACCTAAATTCTTCTCATAACAGTCCGAAAATGATGATATGATTCATCAAATGGAACTTGAAGCTGAAGCAACAGGAATATCATTTTCTAAATATCAGGAACAGCAAGATCGACTTGCAAAAAGACAAAAAACTCAAGGCACTAATAATACTAAAGCTCAACAATCTTCTATTCAAACTGTAACTGGTAAAAAACGTGCAGCCAAAGAAATTGAAGAAAAAGAAGTTAAAGAATTGGCAAAAATAATGATGACAAAGAAACAAAAAACCCTCTACAATAAAATCCAATATGGTAAGAAAAGACAGCAAGAAAAAGTTGAAAATTTACAACGTAAAAAACGGGAAATTATTTCTCAACATAAGAAAAGACCTACTAGTAATAATAATAATGATGATAATAATAATTCAAACAAGAAAAAAACGAAACATAAAGAATAAAATAGATAGCTTAAGTAAATTCTTTTTTTAAAAAAGAAAAAATTTTTGGATCTTTTTTTTTTTTTTTGTGTAAATTGTGTCATTAGACACAAAGCATAATATCATGGATTAAAGTAGAAATACAGTTTACGAAGCAAATTTGCAATTACAAAAATTACAAAATATTGCTACGCTCATACGGTTTTTAAGGTATTGTTTATGATATAATATATATAAAGTATTGATCATAAAAAATTTTCTAATATAAAGAAATGGAAAAGGAGAAAAAAATTATGCATATAGGTTATAATATAAATGTCTCCAAAATATCCCTTATAAAAAAGTTCTTCAATAATATAATCCCTAAATCATATTTAATATTGTTTATTACGGTAACATCTGTTTATTATTATAAACATTCAACATTTAAAATTATCTATTATTGCAATAGAATCTACAAACTAATAAGGATAGTGAAAATATGTACAAATATTATTTTTGGAGCGCGTATAATTGACTACGCATTCTTTCTTGGAGAGGTTTTATTATATGTTGACCGACGTTGCTTTTGCTTTGTTGCTTGTCCGCCGCCATCACTGCCTCTTTTGTGTGGTTCTGTTAAGAATAATTACAAAAAAACTTTAACAATAGTGGTATTAAAATAATAAATATAATTAAAATTCGGCTTACCGCCTAAAGCTGGCGAAAAGTTTTTTTGTCGAGGAGAATCGATACCATTGACAGACACTAAAGGTGAAGGAGTAAGTGATGGTGTTTGAGTAGGTGTGGGTGCTGGTGTTGGAGTAGTAATCGGCGTTGGAGCAGAGGCCTGCAAATCGTTCGTATTAGGTGTTGGCGGTGCACCATTATAAGAAGGTTCATTTTTAATGTCCTTTCCATTAAGTTGTGCTTGAGGATTTTGTATCCTCTGATTTGGATTCGGATTATTAGACATTGTAGGCGTATTCATGTTTTGAGAGTTATGTGTAACCATCCTTAATGCCTCTGTAAATATAAAAAAATATAAGCGCCAAATATTATATATATATATATATAGAATAAAAGAAATTAAAATTTACGCAATGGTCCAGTTTGCGAATCTTTTATAGTCAAAGCAATGACTTCTTGTATAAAGTCAACTCCCTCTGCGATCTGTTCAAATTATAATTAAATATTAATGAACGAATAAATAAATTAAACATATAAAAACAATGTGGATGCTAACCTCTAAACATCGCATTGTCTTATGCGGTATTCCATATTCATTTACAACCACTGTATCTGGAGTAAATCTTTGTATTAGATTACGTGGAACATATTCGGTAAACTTTGATGTCACAAAGTCAAAACTCGTCATTTTTAATGTGTTGTTAAACACAACCACTAAACGACCAGGCGCTGAGACCTAAATTATAAGAACGAGATAATGAACTTCTTGATTAGAATAAAAATTATAAAATCTTCCTAATTCCTAAAGGAAACAATTTTATATATATATATTTATTTATTTATATTTACCTGAATTCCGTTTGCAAAGTGATATTCTATCGAAGAATATGGACAATCTACTTGGGATTGAACACCATTTGGAGTATTTACGGTCCTTTCTTTTGGACTTCCAAGAACAAGGTGTATTTTTACTACTCCAGATTCAATAAATGTTTGATAAAACCTCGGGATAACTTGGTATGTGAATTCTATTCAATTAATAGAAAACATTATTAACATTAACTAAATTAACAAGTAATATAATATAAAGATCGTACCAAATCTTTTTGTTCTATTGTTCACACTATCATGTAATGTATACTTCATTGTTACATCCTCAGAAAAAAAAGTATTCGTTAGTTGTTTCCAATATAGGATATCCTAATTCAATGTTATTTTAATTTTAAATTAATAAATGCTAAATAAAAATGGTGATAATTTGATAAATAACCAAACATACTTGTAGATTATTAACCATGACGTCATTTCCTAAACATTCTACGAATGCTAGAAGTTTTCCAACACCAGAATTTGACCTAAAATCAATGATAAATAATTAGCGCATTAATTCTAATTAGACTCAACATTCTACGTTATCATTTTTTAAAAAAACTTACTTAATTATAGGAGTTTGCATTCTCATTTGGTTAACAAATCTTGGATTATTCACTATGTTATTTGTCATGGCTATCATATTCGGTACATATGAACTTGGGATTATATTACGCTGAACTCCTATTCCATTTTGTGTCATTGTAAATTGTGGTCTAACAAATCTTTGGGCATTGGGGAAGTTTGGGTAAACGTTAGGAGGAACTCGGATCGCGCCTCCCGGCATAAAAGCAGCCGGATTATAACTCGCCATAAACTTTGATGTTTCGATAGATCACAGAAGCTATTTCTTTAAAAAATATATATATATATATATAAAATATAAAAGGCTTTACTATTAAAATTAAACTAAAAAAAACCAAGTATTCGATATATAAAAAAGTGAGTATAATTTTTTCTTTTGATTTTAGTGTATTGTGTGAGAAAGCAATGAAATGTCAACAAAAATGGGGAGTCTGCTAAATTACAAAGATCACAATAAAAATGATTTACAGAATTGAAAAATGCCGCGGTATCACCCGTTGGCAATTCAGCCAATCAATATCAAACTGAGACTTTGGTCCAGATTCATTTTGCGTTTTGACCAGAATTAACTACCATAATATTTGTTTCATTATAGTAACTTATTAAAATAATAAATAACCTTTTCTATCTATAATTTTAAAAAAATTATAACGTTAGATTATGAGTACGTAGAATTTAATTTTGTTACATTTAATACATTTTAATAATTCAATTCTTGTTAAAAATCCATTGTTTCTAAAAATAGTATAACTTAGATTCTTAAAAATAGGTAAAACTAAGAAATATTTTGTGTAGGTTGTATATTGCTTAGTTAATTTAAAATGACTGTTTTATAATTATAACAAAGACCTTCGAATTTGTTCTTATATTCTTGTTACTTCTTATATAGCCCCTATACCAAAAAAATAGACATGATCGACACTATTCAAAGTATGGAAAGTATGGAAAGTTCGATCGAAACACTGGCCGAATGTTGAAATTAGTCACCAGATTTGATTCCCAAACAATAATTAACTCACATGACACTAATGACTGACACTACTTCGCCTTTAGTGCCCCTAAAAAGGAAGTTCTGCGATTTCGGGCAAAATTTTATAATTCAGCAGAGTTCATATGATTGGCTAAATATTGACTGATACAATTTCGGCATGTTTATTATTATGAACATTATTATTATATGATCCCAAATTTTATTAATTAACATTTAAATTCCTATTAATTACATCTTTCAAACAATTCATCACAATAGCAAACTCATAATAGAAATCGTAAAAGTCAAAAAGACTTAACACTATATACAAATTATTACACTTCGAAATTAAATTTACCATAAATTTAGCAATTATCACAATTATTTATAAGCTACCCTCTTTCTTTCGCGAAAACTCCACTTAGATGGTGGCTAAAGTTAAATATAAACGAATTTATAAATAAAAATAAAATTAAATCAATCGAAATTATAATTTTGATTTACCAGATTTTGCTCTTCAAAATCACCTTCCTCAATCTCATCATCTATAATTTCCTCTTTATAGTTGACTACTTTGTTTTTTTTGTCTCGTAAACGCATCGGACATTTGAATTTTTCTGCAAGCTGCTCTTTCATACGTTTCTTGATTGATCTTACCACGGGTTCACCGGCTTCTATCATTACGTCCAACCAAACAGCTAATGTAGAAAATGTTCTAATATCTAATGAATACCAATCTACTACAGCATTATAAAGCCAATCCCAATTCTTATCTTTTTTAGAACTGGCTATAAATGAGTTATCGTTATCTGAAAATTTAAGTCCAGTTTCAGAGATCATATTCTTGACTTCATTTACAAAGTCGATAGCACTAACTTTTGAATTTGATTGAGGATCTTTAAAAACCAAATTTGGTTCAACATGTTTCAAGATTTTTTCAAAATCCGCGATTTTTCTTTTCACACATTCTTCCATTATTGTATGATATTCTTCTATTGACCAGACGTCTTTCTTACGGATGACTGTATCAAATAATTTCCAGAAGCTTTTTTGACGTTGACTCATAATACTTTTGACTTCTTCACAATCAACTTTCATTGGCTCGTCTTTAATATCTCTTTTCTTTTCGAGCCATAAATTAAGCTTGTCAAATGAAGGTTCAATTTCTTTCTCCATAATCTTAAGATTTACTTTTAAACTTCTTTCCCTCTCATTGCGTGTATTGAGACCTGCCATAAACATTCTAAATTTTCCAATCCCATTAATAAACTGCCATTCCAACAGAGAGGTCAGTGGAAGAGATGAATCATTAGAATCATCCAATTCCTCTGGGTAATTCCATTTAATAGTTTCAACAAATACGCCTCCCAATGTTCTAAAGAACCAATAGTATCTACCATCCCGATCTTGTCCTAATCTGACCATCGTATAAAATCTTTCGTCACGCCCCAATGGATTCAAAATCGTACCACCTCGTAGAGTACAATTTGCATGATCTCGTTCAGTCTTGTTCAACATGTTAAGTTCCTTATATTCTGCTTCCAATTTATCTAATTTATGGTGCAGTAGTTCAATTTCATCTGTTGTAACTTTTCGTTGTTCATTGAGTTCACTTAATATTTCTTGCTCAGCCTTGCGTTTTGCAACAATTTTTTGACGTTTAGTGATAGCATTTGACAAATCCACAATATTACTTTCGTCCTCAAAACTTGAGGGTTTTTCCTTCAATTGCTTTTCGATATCTTTAATCTCATTTTCTTTGTTAACTATTCTGACACGTGTTTCATTGATTTTAAAGTTAATCTCTTTCATTTTTGCCGTTCTAATCTCATTTTCTTTCCTATGATTTGCTGGAATTGTCAATTCTTTTATATATTCACGAAGTTTATTGGTGCGTAATGCTTCATTTATAATATCGGTAAATATAGACATTCGTTCTCTCGGACTAAATTCGGAATATTCTTTTTCGAGAAGAAATTTCTTGTTAGGAAATCTTTCAATAAGATAATATTGAATATTAACAATATCTATGTCGCATCCTTCTTCAGATTCATTGTAAAGGAAAGAGAGCAATCCAGATTGTAAATAAGCAAGGCGCGTATGGAAACGGTCGTCCAAAACCATTTCTTCAAGATGGGCTGAAATAAAGTTTAATATTATTCGTTAATTTTTGAACTTTTTTATAAACAAAAAAAAAAAAAAAAGTAAACTAGTAAAATACCATATTGTAATTTATTTCCATTATATTCAATATCTAATCCCAAAGGTTTCTCAAATTTCACAATAAAATCGTATAGTTTTAATATATCTGTAACTAAACTCATGTCAATCGCTCCTAGATCCACATTTTCAAAAGCTGGTAATGAAGAGACGACAGCATTATCGAATTCATTGTTTTTTTGTAGTTTCCTCTTGCCAATATTTGCAATTGGTCGAGATTCTGATAATTCCTAATAAAGTAAAATATTATTAGAATTAGTTTATAATGCTGGATGAACTTGAATTGAATTAAAAAATTCATTACATTATTTGAACTACTGATTTCTATAAAAATGGTAGGATTTTCGCCATCAAAGGTAGATTTGGTGTCATTTTGAGGATTGACACTTCCACTTTGTTGATCCTTTGATGAAGTAGCAGGACTAAACCAATTTAATAAAGAATTATTATTATTATTGGATTGACTTTTCTTTGAACTAGACTTTGATCTTTTCGAGTTTTTCTTGATTGTTGATAAAGAACTTTCATTAGATTTTATAGTTTCAAAGTTCGATTTATTAACCGTCACTTCTGGCGGGGACATAATAGGAATGACAACTCTTGGTAAATACCAAGTAGCTTTTGTAGGTGAAGCTACCTTTCTTGGTGTCGGTATATTTATTTCATGTGTACCATTAAAAATTACTGTTTTCTGTGTGAGTTCTTTCTCACTTTCCTCCTTTATCGTGAGTGGTGTTTCCTTTGAGGAATCAGAATCACGCGTATCAGACTGTAGCCAACGCTTTATTGCAGACTCTTTAGACTTTTGAGTATTAGAAACCTCGCCCAAAGCTGTCCTTTTAGATTTTGAGTGGTTACTTAAAACTTTTGAAATATTACGACTCTCCATTATTTTTATTTTTATCCTTTCTAGCTAACAAAAAATGAAAAAAAAGTGATAGTTATATTACATTTATACTTTATTAAAAATTATGTATAAAATAATATTAATTTTCGTACGTCTTTAACGTTTTCTTGTTGATAAAAACACAAACTTAAGAAAAGTTATTAAGTTTGACACGATAAAAAAACGCGCCGCGACACGAACTTATACTTTTTAGTAAAGGACGATCATATGAAATGAGGTTAACCAATCGATCTCCATTAAAAAAAAAAAATTTTATCATGTGATTTGACGCAGTTGTACACAATTATTATTACATTTATTACATTTAAAAAAATTTCAATTTTTTTAATTTTTTGAGACGAAAAACTAAAATTTAAATAAATTTAAATTAAAGAAAATGTTGGAACCTTTGGACCTGAACAAACAAAGACCATCCCCACATCATACAAAACTTTTTATAATAACTGATATGGAAATAGATTTACTAAGCCATTGGCAAAACGTATGATAAAAAGTGCATAATTAATATAATTAATGGCTTGTTTTGTTTAAAAACAAATTAAATCTTCCGTTTTTTACATGCAAACTATAATACATTTTACATAATAGAAAGGAAAAAAAAAGTTCGTCAAATTCGTCAAGTCCTTTCTAAATTCAATTTCCTGAATTTGTATAGCGGGGTATAAAAAAAATTTTTGACAGTATGAAAATGTAAGGGGATTATTGTAACCCTTTTACTGTAATTTCACCTTTTTTGATAAAAAAAAAAGCATGTGAACGGGAACGGGAAATGATGTGTTAAAAATATCGTAAGCCATAGCTAATATCGCATGATTGTAACTAAATAAATTGAATAGGGGAAATTCGTATTCCGTACTACGATAATTTTGCCCAATTTCCAGTATAAAGTAAATTGAGCATCATAATTTAATTGAGTCTAACTAAATTAATTCTTTAGTATTAAATTGTACTAGCTGCTGATTCAAAAATGACATAATCTTACATAATTTCAAAAAAAATTTACGTTTTACTTCGATAAAAATTTATCATTAGAATATATATGGTTACAATTTACAATATTCCTTTTTCTAAAGAAGTCTTATAACGGTTTAATTATAATTATATAAAATAACCCATATCGACCACCTTTTTTTCTCTGAATACTTTAAATATTTAAAAAAATCATTTTTTTTTTTTTTACGCACAATTAATTCAATTCCTTTCCTCAAATTTCGGAAATAATAATCATTTGTGTAAATGATATTTGTTTTGATCTGAAAAAAAAAACTGCTGATTATAACGAAATATCCGTACTCCCAATGTCGAAAATTAGCCCTAAACCTCCAAAGGGTAGCAAAGGTAAATAATTTGTTACAATTTCTTTATTATTAAAAAAGAGAGTTTTTATTAAAAAATTCGTTTGATTTTTTTTTAATTCAGCAACTACTTTAAAATCGGTATTATTACATATTCATCTTCAACAATATTTACCACTCTTTCAAAGAAATGAAATTGATTTTACAACTTTTTTGACATTAAATGAACAAACCTTAAAATCAGTTGGAATAGGGAATGATTCACATCGTAAAGTATTGTTATTATATATCAGGAAGTTGAGAAAATTAATTTTATCATCATCTACTGTAGCAGTACCAATTGAAAATAATATGTCATCGGAAATTATAAACGATGGTGACCTGACAAAAGTTTCCATTGAAGAAAATAATTTAACCATATTAACACCTATCACGGAGGAAGAGGAACCGTGTTTTCCAGAAATTTCTAATGACATCACTGACAATAATGAAGAAGAACCGATTTCTGAAAATAAATCACAAGATAATGCTCCGATTCATGAATCGGATGAACTTTCTTCAAACGAAACAAACTCAGTATCTGCAAGTTCTGAGGATGACTATACTCCAACATCTCGGTCGCGGAAACATTATAGTACAGATAATGAAGATTTATTAGCTTTGAGAAAAGAGCGTGGTGCGGTTGTACGAGATTCTAATTGGCGTCTTTCTATGCCTGTGACAAATAGTGAATTACCTCCCTATCACAACAGCGGATTACCTTCGTACCACGATGTGGTTGATCGACAACGCATAGTGACGTGTGAGGAAGAAGTAATTCACGAAGAGTTACCTCCTTATTCTTGTAGTGTACATAAAGCAGGATATGTTTTCAAAAAGAATGAATTTTCTTCAAAAGGTTATAGATCGAGAGACAGATCATGGAAAAAACAATATTTATATTTATGGGGAACTTTTTTACGCATATATAAAAGTGAACCAATTGATATTAATGTAAGTACTTCATTTTTTGTTAAACAAAATTTTACGCACTTTTTAAATTTTTTCCTTTCTTTTTTTTTAGAGAGTAACTCCAACTCATGAGTTCAGTATGCTAAATACTCAAATAGGTTTAGCAACAGATTACTCTAAAAAAAATAATGTGATAAGAGTGCGAATTTCTTCTACTGGGCACCAATTCTTGTTTCAAATACAAGATCATGATGAATGCGTATCATGGATAGAGAAGTTACAGTCTTCTGTAAATATTTCACCTACATTAGATGAAAGAGAAATGCCAATGTTTATCACTTTACCTATGAGAAGACGAAGAGTTGGTGGTGTTATACCTTCATCACTTTCCTCGTCATCTTCATTATCACCATCATTATCATCGACGAACGGTAGTATAAATTATGAAGGTATACCTATAATAAACCCATCTTCAATGCCTATTTCAGCTTCAGGTCTAACTTTTCAACAATTTAACGAAATGGCAAGAGAATTACAACAAGTTCAAATTACTGAAGCTTTGCCACAACAACAATTAATTTGGTAGTTAAGTTTAAGAGAAAAAAAAAATAAGCAAATTATAAGTAATTTTTCTTTAAGGACAATTAATTATAATTATAATTATGTTAAATATTTTTATAAGAACAAAGATATATCTTTTTTATAGATATTATATATGTAGCATTAACATTGTATTATATTGTGTACTTTTATTTTTTTGCATTATATATAACACAGATATAATTATTACATTATTTATGTTTAGAAACTTATCACAATCAATTAAATCAATCATAAAATTTCGTAATTTTGAATAATAATTAAATTTATTCAAGAGAGATATAACTAACGAATGACCAATAAAAAAATTTGTTACATACAATTTGTATGTAAGATAAGTAAAATGTTTATTTTTAAGTATTATCTTCTACCCCCTAGGTATTATATAAATACTTAACATTCTTAAGAAATTATCTTTTTACATTAAATATTTTTATTTTTTATCTATTAATTTTAGTTAAGCAATAAACAGGTTTTAGTTTTTAAATTTTAATATATATCATTAATTAAATAAATCATATTTAAGATATCAAATAATTTTATAAAAATTGCTTATATAAATTATAAAATAATAATATTTAAATGAAAAACTAATTACTATATAATAAATAAATAAATTATATATTCTTTTACAACTGTTTTTATATATATACTTAGTTTAAAAATAATCCAGTTTTCTGGTGGTTTTATAATTAAAAAACATTTTAGTTTATTTATCTTTAAAATATTTTTTTATTCTTTTAAAGAAGTACTAATTTTTCAAATTTATTTTATATTTATTTACAAGAAAAAAGTAGATTTCAGAAAGTTTTAAAAAAACTAAAAAACTATAGTAATCACTATAATAAAATTCCACTAATTTTAATATAACCAATTTCTAGTTATAAACATTACAGTTATTTCACTGACAATTTTGAAATTCTAATCCACTTACCCTAATCTTATTTTAATTGAATTACTGTAAACAGTATAAATGAAAAAAATAAAATAAAAAAATGATTTTTTTTAAAAACCCATAAAAAACAGTAAATTTTATTGCATTTTTAGAAGGAAAAGGTATGATTATAACATGAAAACCTTGATTTTAGGATGAAAAATCCAACTCTTAGGTAAGTTTACATATAGAAAACTTTTTAGATTACACAAAATCTCAAAAGTCATTTATATATAAACTTGCCAAAAAATTAAGTTTTCTGCTCTAAAATTAACATTTTCAGGTTATAATCACACCTCTCTATTTAAAAATGCAATAAAATTTACTGTTTTTGTGGGTTTTTGAAAAAAATCATTTTTTTTATTTTATTTTCCTATTTAAACTGTTTTCAGTAATTCAAAAATAATGATAATATAAAAAGTAAATTACAAATAATAATTAAGCTTATATACAACTATAATATTAACATTTTTTTTATAATATATTTATATAAATTTTATCTCTTTTAACTGTATTCTAATTATATTTACTTGGAATTTATTAATAATTTTAGAAAAGTTACAGTTAAAGGAATAAGTAAAATAAGTTTTTTTTTTATAAAATAAAAAAATAACTATTAAAAAAGGCAGTTATTTAGAAATATTTAATTTTTAATTACTATTTGATATTCATTTATTATTATTTTTTTTTTTTAATGATTTATATATGCTTTATTGATATGTAGTTTATATACCATACAAACAAATTATCATAAGCTATATCCACCCAGTATAATGCAATCATCAAAATAGTTTGATATTTATTTAAAAATTTTTAAATATTTAAATATACTATACATTTTTTAATATTCTTATTTACGGGCCATTTAGTTTTAATTATATTTTTGTAAAATTTTATTATTCAAATCACCGTGGGTGATCATCACCGTTGGCCAGAATTATCAATTTTTACCGGCACTATATTTTTTTAATGCTGGTCGATCATCATAATTTCAGTCACTGGTGATCATCACCTCCGGTGATAGTTGGAAAAATTCTTTTGTAAATACATAAAATCTAATTAATAAATAGTACTACATATGCATTAAAAAATAATAAAATATTTTTATTTGATTTAAATAATCAAATCAAATAAAAATAAATTATTTTCTTACAATATATATGGTAATAATATAATTAAATTAGTAATATATATATATATATATATATCAAAACTTTATCTATATATAATTAAAACTTAATAACAGAAAGGATTATATTAATAGCTTTATATCAATTTAATAATCCTATATTTTAATAAAAGAGAAATATTGAGATATTACTTAAAATCATAAATGTAAATCCAAGATATATCTACCTATTATACAAGGCAATTCTTCACCTAACTTATAAAAGGATCTTTGTGTACAACCAGTCTTCTTGATGTATTCTATAAATATATCAAGACATATATATAACCTTATTTAAGCCGCTAATCCAACATAATTGTTTGTTTAATGTTTATGAATTTTGAGGAGGTAGGGGTTTACAATAAACAAACTATGTAATAAAATTTTGAAAATTCAAGATATTTTAATTTAAATCATATCTGATATTATATATCGAATTTTAGTTAAAAATAGTTAATCACGTGACATATTAATGAGTAACACGCTCCTGCCATTTTTTCATAGGAAAAAACCCTGTTATTCCCAACTCCCTGTGAAATAAATATTACATCATTATCATATGTTCAAAAAAATGGGAGCGGCCTTATCAAGGTCGATATTTTTGGATCTATGAATTAATCAGGAGTTATTAAGGAGTGAATGCAAATCATGAAGGTCTGAAGGTCACGATACACCTAACTCCTATTCCGGGGTAGGGTATGATCCTAAACATTAGGATGACATCAAGTAATTATTTCCTAGATAGGCAGTATAAAATTAGAAATAAAATAAATGGGCAATCCCAGGAGCGTATCATAAAACGTCATATAACGTGTGATTAACTCTTTTTATAATACATTTTTAAACAAATTAGGTCGTCTATATGAAACCGGAGAAATAATTCCGATCATTTAGATCATTCATGAAGAGTAACACTTTATAAATCGATATAATTAATATGAAGAGTGACAATTAATGCGACAGAGAATGAGATATTAAATGAATTAATATAAGTCATATAAATTTAAATTAATATGGAGAGTGACAATTAGTGCGACGGAGAAAATGAATATATATACTTTTTAATTATATTTTAGTGTAACAAATTTTATGATGATTTAAGTGTGGATAAAAAAGTCAATAAGTGAAATGTTTATAGCGATGATCAATCACATGGATCAACGAGTTTTGGGGAAAGATAATTTTATGGAACAGCTTGGGAATATTTTCTGTTACTGCCCCTTTTGTTCCCCATAAATCCGTGATGATTGAAGATCCAGGATTATAGGATCACAACCCTGGCTGAAAGAAGATTCAATTAGCATGAAAATCAAACAGAAAAAATCTATTGAATAATAAGAATCACATTGTTCGTCCATTGGTACTATCTTGGTATATCAATCTGTTTTGACCTTTATAAAATGTTTCCTGCTTAATATTCTCCTCTGAAACTTTGTTTACCTCTTTATGACCTTTGAACTTTGTATCGTTATAGTAGTTTCTTAAATCAAAATTTGGATTTATTTGTAAAAAGTTATATAGACATCTACAATGGAAAAAAGTTGATGAATCAAACCTTAGCAGATATCCTTTTCAAGGTCTAATTGGCCTTGTTGGCGTTTTATTGTTTAAAAATTAATTTCTAATTTATAACAATAAAATTATACATGAATTGATATAAAGGGAATAATAACCGATCTATACAGAGAATTTTTGTAATAGTTCAGTTAATGATCAAATACAAACCTCAAAATATCTCGCCTGCCTATGACTAGATAGACATGAAGTTATGGCATCTCCTGAAGATATAGAAAAGCCTCACTAGATTCATCAAATTCAGTAGATCAACTGTCACCAATAATATATATATATATATATAATGACTGAACAGACAACAGTGAAGACATAATGTCTCTTAGGTATCAAGGAAGGACTATCTCGCCAACGACTGGACAGTCACAAGGACTTTTAATACAGTTGATGTTGTCCCAATAGTTCATACTTTTTATCAAAAGTATCATCTGATTAACTAAAAAAAAAAAAATTCCACAGAAATTCCCAGAAATTCAGTAGAGTTTCTATTGAATTTACTTAATACATTTATAAAAACTTACCTCATAAACATACATTGATATAAAGGTTATGTTATGCAAATGTTTAGAATATTGTGCACTTGTTTATGTAATTCAGATTATTTTAAAAAATTTGTTCTTTCCAACAAGATATTCCGACGTTAAAGTAATCGCTCTTTCCAACAAGATATTCCGACGTTAAAGTAATCTTGTATGTAATTCAAGATTATTTTAAAAAATTTGCTCTTTTCAACAAGATATTTCAACGTTAAAGTAATCGCTCTTTCCAACAAGATATTTCGACGTTAAAGTAATCTTGTATATAATTCAGATTATTTTAAAAAAATTGCTCTTTCCAATAAGATATTTCGACGTTAAAGTAACCTTGTATGTAATTCAGATTATTTTAAAAAATTTGTTCTTTCCAACAAGATATTTCGACGTTAAAGTAATCGCTCTTTCCAATAAGATATTTCCACGGGCTTATTCAAAATATGTTCCCATCTTGTTATACGTAAAGTAACCCCTCACAATTTCTTCCATCCTGAAGATACTTTATCAAGATATTTTACAAACGACGTTATCGTAAAAACAATTTTCCATTACTCTAGGGAACCTTGAAATCAGAAGTTGAAACGAGATTCTCTGTTTGACTCAGGTTCCTGTAATTCATATAAAAAAAAATCAAAAAGCTATTATTCGCAACATATAAAATCAAAAGACATAAATTATAATTACAACAAATAAATCCTTCTTGACCGATTCTTAGAAATGGCAGTTTTTTGTGAAATATAAATAGCACATCTGATTGATAGAACGATAATTGATTGAAAGCCAATAAATCATATAAATTATTCTACCGGTTAGTTTGTTAGTGTCACATCCCCGATTGTTCATATCATTTTGGAATGAATATTTGAGAAAAATATTAATCGTCACTTAATTATGTCATGTTATATAACCCGGCAAAATAAATCCGAATTCCATTGTTCAAAGACAATGGCAC